GTTTTCACGTAGTTTAATCATATCGAAAAACAGAAACTCGTGTAATTTTTGTTCCGGTACGTGGCTCAAAATAACCTTTTTGTTTACCGCAAAAATTAGGAAAAGAACATTTTTAACAAAATATAAAAAAGATAGAGATAAAGAAAGAAATGACGGGGAATAAAACTCTTTTTGATCTTTGATATATATGTATGTACAATATAGATCAGACTTACGTCAGATAATTTATGGCGTATTGTTCGAGTTATTAATTAGTATTACCATCAAAAGCACGTTTCTCCTTTTGTAGATCGTAAATATGAATATTCACACGGAGCGTTTCGTCAAGAACTATTCTTTTAAATGTAACAGAAACGAGAAGAGGATAAACAAAATATAAGATTCGCGGTCACGAGATAATAATAACAAACCAATGTGAATTAATGAGATTGTAAATAAGCTTTGAATTTACCAACGAACTTGAATACAAATTCTTATAATTTATTCTTCAAATAAAAATATGATTTGAGGGAAAAAAATTAAATTTATAAAAATTTGAGAAATTGAAATTTAGCTTTAAATTTGAATGCTCTCGCAAAATTTAAAATAGTTTATTATCGTGAAATCACAATGTTTTCTAATTTGTTAAAATTTTATATATGTATTATATTTACGTAATATGTCTACGTACATGTATACGTATTACACAAATTTTATGTTATATTATATATTTTCTCTTTGTTCTTCTTATTTAATTCTGTAAATATTTACAGTCTATAAGTTTATAACAAGTGCATAAACTTTTAAGTTTTAGTTTCGATATCATAATATGTATTTCAAAACTGGAGTAATTTCATGTTGCGGAACTTACGCCATAAGTTTTCACGTAGTTTAATCATATCGAAAAACAGAAACTCGTGTAACTTTCGTTCCGGTACGTGGCACGAAATAATCTTTTTGTTTACCGCAAAAATTAGGAAAGGAATATTTTTAACAAAATACAAAAAAGAGAGAGATAAAGAAAGAAATAACGCGGAATAAAACTCTTTCTAATCTACAATTAAGATGTTTTTAGGAACTCTTATTACAATTGAAAATGGGAAATTTAGTTTCATTGGAAAACTTCAAAACGTTCTCGTGTCTGGTGCGACTTCTACTCTTACACACATGATATGTAAACTCTGTGCAGTGGAATTTGTATGAGCAAGAGAGTTGGGCGATAGCAATTTCCTGCATAATAATATACACGATCAATTTCCAGATACTGTCTAGTTTGGTTTTTCCGAGCTATACATATATATAAAGAATACTTTACATTTCTTGCCAAAATTGTAAAAATATTATAACATGAAGTTCTTTATGTTGCTACTATTAATATAAAAAAATAAAAACAAGAAAATAGAAATGATATAAATTACAAACAAGTGTTGCCAATTAAATCGTAATGTAATATTAAAAAGACAACCCTTTGTTATACGACAGAGAAACGGTTGTGTATTGGTTTGATTTAGGAAATTTGTTTTATTATAAATCTCTCTTTATATACATACTTATACACATGATACATACACATGAAAGTTGTCTTTTATTTTAAATTTTTTTTCTAATAATACTTCATTAATGTAAAATATGCGATATGTGTATTTTAATGATTGATATAATTGATACAAATGATATCTTACATTTATCTTCTAAAATATTTTTTATGCAATTATTTTGACAATGCACTTTATAACGGTGATGGGATGAATATAGAAAATATGAGCGTAGATGTATAACATATGTATCAAAGTATACATAATATGGCTTTTCGTAAAATAATGTTTTTTTGTAAAAGAACTTAGCTTTTGTAGTAAAAGCAAATTTTTGTATAGATCATCCTTTTAAAAAAATATTCTTTGTAACAATGCTAAATTTATAAAAAGCTTGTGAAATATATTTATATGTATATAAAAATATATGTATGTATGTATATAATCATATATTTATATAATATAGACATAAAAATTATTAATGAATATATGACAAATATACATACATACATATA